CATACTTTGTCACAACAATGCAAAGAACAACCTACTAGAACTACCCGAGTGAATCAAATAAAGACTTCCTTGAAGTCCACTGAGATCGAGAGATGACAGTCACATATGGGACGTTCACGCTTCACGAAAAACGGTGCCAAAGGATCAAGTTAGAAGGATCTTGTACTCTTACGCAGTAATAGTCTTCACTGTAGGTTGGACATTTGCTTCACCCAATCAGAAATACTTAATATGCCCTCTTTTTGAAAATTGTACTGTTTGAAGAAGATTTGTCAGGCTGTCGACCACCTGAGCTCATGATTTCCGTTTTTGTTGAAAGTTTTCAAGTCTACTCAGCAAGACTAAAGTGGTTCTTCCTTGGTTTTACGTGGCCTTTGAGGTGGTTTTTACTTAGCAGATTAGCACCCACAGGAAAGCGAATTCAATCGCATGTTCAAATGGAATCCAACTTCGAACCAAAAACGCAAATCGTGGAAGTTAAGTTTTAACGTTCGGATAATTTGAGTGCTGAGTCCTCAACAGGCCGTGATGCTGCCATCAATGAAAACTTGCCATCGCGATCGTGCCTCGAGCTAAATTCTACTTAACCTCAACAACTGAAAACATTAATAAGATATTCCTGTTACCTTTTATTAACTCTAAAAAAACACCATGACAAAACGGCAAACTTAGAAGTCAAACACGTTCGTCAAGTATCCTGTGTTTTGAATGCTCCCGCTGCTGTGGAATTTGCGGATGACAGTACATGAAAAACATAAAGCAAGGATCTCGGAAATGTAAATTGACTTCTGTTGAAGTTTTCTTTTTTCCCAAGAACTGCTAGAGATTGAAATCAGCTCCTCCCCGATATACCTCGCATTTTGTGCCTATTTTTAACTAGCTTAGTTAAATGTTTTTATTTTCATTCTACTTATTGTTGCATGTAATTTTGACTTTTATATGTTGTTAGTGGTTGGTGTGTCGCCTAACTGAATTTTACTAACCTAATCAAGAAGATGATGACGATGACACGCAAGAAGACTGGGCTACCTGTGGTCGCCTGCCCCGTTCCGCAGTGTCGGGCATCTGATAGAACCAGCTAACACTGACAAATGGACCCGATCTGTTTTGTCTGATCCTTTAAGCAAAGTTTATCGCGAAAATGATATGACAGATTTGTTTTGAGATGCCGTGTCTGCATCCCAAAGGAACAAAGAATCATTATTTAAAAAGAACTACAAAAAAAAAAAAAGAAAAGAAATCGTTTTGTTACTAGAGCATTTACTTAACTCAAAATGCTTTCAATAGCAACTCAATTTTGAAAGCTCTCGCTCAAGAAACACTTTTTTTGCAGCAAAATTTTGTATGGTGAACAGATTGACTACGTGATTTGTTTTAAGTAGAGTATCTATTCCAGCCATTGTTTTTCCTATATTTAGTACAAACAAACACTGCTGAAAGGCTGTTTGATCAGCGAAAAAAAAAAAAAGCCTGCAAGTTTTCTGAAACCCCCGCCGGGGGACTTCAGTCACCCGGGGTGTTACTCCCTTAATCATATTTGCCTTATAGGTATGTGTTGGCCCAAAGGGTATGGTTTTTGTGCCGTTTTGGTCTGAAAACGGGTACAGCCTTTGCCTATTTTGGTCTGAACTTGTGTATAGTATTCGAGGGAATATTGGAGTGCAGTTAAACGTATTTTTCGTTTCAATTCCAAATGAATAAGAAAGAAAGAGTAATATGCGCCGAGAATTCGAAATGGATTTTCAGAAATCTTATTGTCGGTGAATCTAATTAATGATAACATAATTTCGGTCTACGACAGGTCTGAAAAAGGGTATGGATTTTAGAGGCTAGGTTTAAAAACGGGTTTGGAAAAAGACATTTTGTGGTGAGAAAAAGGGTCAGGATTTGGAGAACCGGGCAGCACACCCCCACACTAATTTCTAGGAATAAACCCCCCTCCCCCCGGTGGGTCATTTTTTCACACTCTACCAAGGTACCTTATCAGAAGCTATATGGTTACAAACAAAGAGAGGATAACATATTCTGCCTTAAAACAACAGTTCTGTTGTTAGTTTGAATTGTGTAAGACCACAGGAGCCGGAAATTTTTATTCTGTTTTTTTTTTCCACGAACATAAATTTCGTTCTTTAAACAACATCGCAAGCTATTTCTCTTTTTGCTTGGCTGTTTTTGAATTTCGCTCAAGTCTTAAACACGTTTTATCGACAGAACATGTTCGAAACATGTTGTTAATGTTATGTAACGTGTTCAACGCGATAACGTGTGGCTGAAGAATTCGGTTGCCTTGTGTTGATTGATATAGTGTTGCTTTTCCAGTTGAGGAGGAAAGTCCTGAGAAAAGGTGTTTAAAGCTTTAAAAAGTAAGCAAAGGGCTTAGCTTCCACAAAACAATGAAACATGTGACTCCCCCTACCACAACATTTTTCAGTGGTATTCACAGAGTAGTTTCATCAAATCAGTGTTAAGTCAGTTTAGATGACATTGTCAGTTCAGGCTTGAACAGGATTTCCGAGATTAAACTGTTCTCAGAAATCTGTCACTTTTGGGCCGGTTTTCGTGCGTTTACTGCTGTGAGTTGTTTTTTTTGTTTTCTTTCTCGGTTGCTTTGTTTTTTATTTGTTCCATGACACGTCATCACAGCAGTTGTTTACAGACCTTTGCATTCCTTTCTTTAAATGGTAATTTAAACATATATCTTAACAGCAGAAAATATCACCAGAACTCATTGCCCACTTCTGTATACTGGCAACTGCAGCTCAGGTTCGCTTATCATTATACTACTTAGTTTAGTCGTTTCCCGAAGACATTAATACTTGTTTTAAAGTTATCTTAATTGCATTCAACAGGCTTCGGTGACCGAAACCGCAAAACGTTAATAGCTATGCCTTCAATTACTTAACTATCAGTGGTCACTCCTTTTCGATTAGCGGTTTTTTTCACAGCTTTGTTTCAATTGTCATCAACTGCAGGTTCGACAAGTACCCAAAATTCCTAACGTACTTCAAGGTGTTTGACCTTATTGCTTTATCTCTCTTAGTCGTGAGGATATCAAAAGTCCTTGTGAGTTGAAAAATATGTTTATACATAAATGGCGGAAGAGCTGCTCGACAGTTATCTCGAGCTATCACTTTCTGCAGAGGGATCATACCTCATGTTCTTATCTGGTCTATCTGCAGCGGAGATCTCAGGTGCCTGTGGGGAGAGTAAGACGTCTTCAGACATAGATAAACGCAGTTGTGCGCCGGGAGAATAAATGCTGACTTGTTTAGTAACATGACCTGACAATAACACTTGATTTATAGTTCTCAGGAGTATTTTTTTTCTGTGTGGAGAGAATTACTGATTAATGTATATCAGGAGCCAGTAGTAGTCTCTGAAAATAAACGGAATGAAAGAGAATGTGTCTAATTGACACACTTTTAAAAGAATGTATAGAGGGCTAACCATTAACTGAAAAAACCATTAACATACGCCTATAACCAGAACCTGTGGTGGTTGCCTTAGGGCCTTGCATGATTGATTCTTTATTGAAACTAGGAAGAGGTGACCTAGATCTTTTCACGCCAGTAGCGATCAAGGAGTCGTTTGTTAGTTTCCTTGTTAGCGGTGTTTATAAATTTAAGGGCGCGTATAAACCTGAGAAAGAAAAAAGCGAAACAAGATGATTCCGTGACACGCACAAAGACAGAACTGTCCGACTCAACAAGTGATTTTGAAATATCCAAAGTATGCTTATAGTCCAATTATTCCACAGGTTATCAATTTTTGTGATGACGTACAATTAGGCCAGTCATTTGTAACGAGCTAATCTATCGGATAGTGCTTTTGTTTGCGTACTCAAGCCTGTAAAGCTGCCGGATCAGTTTTGCCAGCTACTAGCTATTGTAGCTACAATGCGTCTTTTGGCCGAGCTGCTTCAAAGCGTCATTGTGGGCTTAACAGTCGTAAAATGCACAATTCTCGTTGGCCTTTTGAGAATCGCCTCTTCACTTCCTTTCCTGAAGGAAAGACTCCAAGAGTTCGAGGAACAGCATCTTCTAGTCCCTCACCAAAACTTCTGGGACGATTACGGTGGGAAACAAATGCTTGCAGCTGTTTTAAAAATTTTTCTCGGGGATTTAAAAAAGACCGCTGTACTCGGTTCGTCCGCCCCAAACTGCAAGTTAGTCACCACAGACGAAAAACCTTGTAAGCTACTGGATTTCGCACGAGGAACTCGGCCGCTCATTGTTAACTTTGGCAGTCGCAGCTGACCACCTTTCTTGATTAATTTCCTGAACAACTTCACCAACGTTGTTCAGGGATTTCAAGATGTGGCAGACTTTGTTATTGTCTACATCTGCGAAGCACATCCTACAGATGAATGGCGGTGGAATGTAAGTTTTGTTTGTTTGTTTGTTTGTTTCTTCAGTTTATTAAGTAAGAATTCTTTAACGCAGTTTCCGTAACGGCCTTTTTCAAGGAGTAAAACAATGATGGAAATATTTGCATGAGATAATAATGAAAAATAATTTCCCAAAGGAAAATGGTTTAGCCCCCTTGCTTACCGTGGCCGCGTGGCCGCGTGGCCGCTGCGAAAACATTCTATAATCTGTCCTTTGAATGGTACTTATATTTAACACGTTATTTTGCTTTAGTGGCCTTTAGTTCCCAAATCTGTTCTTAAGCATTAAAGACGCAATTTCAGCAAGAAAAAATCCTTAAATCTTAAGGATAAATATGGTTAACTGACACTTAAAAGTCGTGAAATTCCAGTCCTTCACCTATAAATAAAATTACAACGGAAATAGAGAAGTTATGAGAAGTACTAAGAACAGTGAATTATACCTTAAAATATACTTTAATTCTGGAGGATCCATGACCAACTATGGTCATTGCTAAATGAATTTTAAAAAAGGGCAATTCTTTGGTGTTTTCGTTTCTCTTTAGCCCTTGGGGGTCAATGCGTCATCTTTGGGATCATATACGGCAATCTCTTAGTTCTGCGGTTTCTCTGATGTTCATCCGCTGATCAAGGAACTTGCCGATTTTGAATGCAAAATTTGATAAAAAAATTTCTTTCACATTAATTTTCACGAAAAAATTCTTTTAATACCATTAGAATTGAAATTACCTCTGAACGACAAAATGATCAATTACAAACAAAAGAGACAGATTAACTTCACTTCAATTAAAGAATCTCCGTACTGGCTGAACAACTTTCCGAAACACCATCCGTGTTATGTATCCGTCTTATCAGTCCTATTTATTTGCTTTCTTTTCTAATTGTTTTCTTATTTATGTTTGGCTCAATTTCTTTTGTTGCCTGTATTTTTCGATCAACTGACCAGCTGACCGCGGGATTGGCTAAATAGGCCATTTTACAGTTATGGGTGAAAGCGAGGGTGAGGGTGACCTTGTTTTGATACAAACCTTCTTTGCTTTGTTATGGAAATTGTTCTTGAAAAATACTAGTTAGCATAAGAGTAACTTGATTTACATAATAAAGCAGGAAGCTTTGTATCAAAACAAGGTCACCCTCAGCCTCGCTTCCATCCATAACTGTAAAATGGCCTATTGTGTGGCATTTGTGACATTTCTACTATTTTCATATATTTTTCTTTCTGACCTTTTTTACAGAACAACGTTGAGATCTTGCAGCACAGAACTTTACAAGAGCGTTGTCAGGCAGCTGAAATGTTAAAAAAAACCAGTGGATGCTCGACTCCAATCTTGGTTGATACTATGGATAACGAAGCCACTGAAGCGTATGGTGCCTACCCGGAGAGACTCTTCATTATACAAGATAGAAAAATCGTGTACGAGGGAGGAACAGGGCCGTATAACTATAAGTTATGGGAGGTAAAAAAATGGCTAGAGGTGTATAAAGCTAGTCAATAGACCGGTGTGACACAGGCGATGAAGAGTTGTTACCTTGCCCTCTGAACAGTGTACTGTACAAAACCGGGGTACAAAACAAGTTTCTATGTATCTGTCAATTCTATTATAAGAATTTTTTAACACTGACATCGACATTCACATGGAAGGAGTATTTAACTATATATGAAAAGTAACGTACGTGCAGAGATATTTACTTTCAATTTTCCTGAACCTGCAACGACATTTAGCCTAATGAAGTAAACTGACAGCTAAAACATGATAAACAAAAGAAAGAGCGAGCGGTCAATTTCCAAAATTCGTTCAAAATATGGCTGACGTGATTATCTTCATTTTTATAAACAGGATAAATATTCAAATGTTCGAGGTGTATCCCATACGTAGACAAAAAAAATCTTTATTTGTGGCAATTTATGACCACAGACAATGCTCATTAAAACGCTCCGACTAAGCCACTTCAATCAGGGACACCCAACGATAATATAGTTCAATACCACTTAAACATAGCATTTTCATCTGTTCGGATTTCCCAGCTAAAAGTCTAGTGATCCGAAAATTATAGAGATCAAAACTTTTCTTTTTGAAAACTTCAGCCAGAAAAAAAGGCTCCCTGAAAATTCTAGGTGACCTTTTCAGGGTAAGAATCCCGTTAACAATGGGCAATTATACCTTTTTGCTGTTTTTTTAGATGTTCGAAAATGCCAGGAGAGGCAGGCAAGCAAGAAATTTTGCAACAAATGTTCCGAAAATTCTAGATCTCAAATCGTCTACCGAACAGGTATTTTCCGAAAATTGACGTTTGGTGCCCCTGTTCATAATTTTATGACCCAGAGAAAGATTTATTCCAATTCACTTCTCCCTGCGGCTTATCAAATGAAATGTCAGTTGCTTTTCCTGAAAGCCTCCTTGACCTTTAACGTGGTGATTTCTCCTGCTCAAGTTCTCTTCACATATTTTTTCCTGTCTAAAGAAGTTGGCATATCCTGAATGACGGTTTGAGAATAAAGCCCACTCGCGGGACTCTCAAGCCCGAGAATGGACTGTCGACCGACTTGAGGGAGTGTGAACTGGATTTACGATGGTGAAGTCACAAGAAGGCTAAAATTGTTTTCTTTTTAATCAATGATAATATTTACCAGAACTGAAGATCTGTCTAACTTAGGATCAACTGTAATTAAAATAGCACGTATGTTATTGTTAGTTCCAAGCATATATCACGTATATCATGGACGTATTTAGAATCCAAATAAAATGATACCTGAAAGATTGTGCCGGTTTTCGTTTGTCTAATTTATCATTTTTCGAATTACTTCTTCCTTTTACCAAAGAACAGTGTATTATGTGTAAAGAAAAAGAGAAATGGAAAAGGATTGACGAGAATCGTGGCCATTTATTAATTAATGCTGGAAAACTGAACTGCAGATGATCCTTCACTCGCCGCGGTTCAGCTGGAAAAAGGTATAGCCTAGTTTACGAAATGCAAATGTCTTTTTTTTCATTTCATATGATGAATGAGAAAGTAAAGATACGGGAACCTCGGCATACTGTGGCACAACCCTTATCACTAGAGGAAGAGCGTTTCATTTCTTTTATTAAACGGACGGTTGTTGTATCGACAAAGGGCACTCTGTTATTTTTCCTGTTGGCATTTTTGGAGACCTTTCTAGATAAATGGTAATATATCTGTATATAGTCCACGGTTAAGAGAAAAATGTGGTTAACCCCTCTCTTCAAAGTGGATTGAATTCTTTTAGGCTTATTATTTAATAAATACATTTTCTAAGTAAAGAGGGCTTAAATCGTCAACTTTGAAGAGCTCAGTCTTGGCTCCTAGCTATTGCCAAGATAGAGTTGTTTATTAGAGAAATGTCGAAAGTAGGCTTTGATTGTGTGATCACATAAAAAAAGAAGCAATGGCCTTCAAACTCTCGCCTTGCGGTGTCTATTTTTCAGAACGCTGGAAATTTTATCTTAGCGCACGGTTTCCTCAGTTTTAATGAGCGACACTCGGTCCAGAGATCCAACCTCTTACCCATTTATAAACCAATCTTTGAGAGAAAAGGTACGTACCCCTTTCGTATGCCCTCAATTGACAAATGGTAGCCGTCTTTTGGATCACTGAACTAGGAAGCTTTGTAGCCCTTTTTTACGGTCGAAATGACTGATTTCCCTACTCTTTGATATTCCTTGACTATAGTGAAATCCTATCCTTTCATATAATTGAAGCCCGAAGAACGCACGGGGCGGAGCCTTTCCTCATAGGCCATTATAGGGAGTACCTCACCTCGGGGGATTGATGGTTGCACAATTTAAGTTTTAACTGAAAAGGAGATATGATCTATCAAATGTTTTCAAGGAACAGCCGCGGCCGGAGGCACAGAAATACTCAGCTAATGCTGATTATTTCTGTACTACAGACACTGTTGACATGTCTATGAAGCTTGAAATAACTATCCCGCCTGCAACCCGTCATCCGTCGCCGGTTCTTGTTGTTGTTGTTGTTTTAACGTTTTTTCCAATACATTTATTATTACTATTATTATTATTATTATTATTATTATTATTTATTAACTTATTATTGTCAATTAAATTATTGTCAGTGACAGATGGTAATTTTAAAGTTCCACAAACAGGTCTCTGAACAGAATATCCCCTAACTTTTTTAAATGGGATTATTTGGGAGCAGCCATTATTTACGTAGGCGACTTGTCTATCTCAGCACGTTCCAAATATCATCGCAGTCGGAATCAGTTTCAATGCTGTCATCCAGAGAATGAAGCTGTAACCTCAACTGTTGTGTTAACTGTTATTTTAAGTCTCAGTTCAAACAGATTAACGTCTAATCCGGCAATTGCGCTTATTGCATACAAAGCATTTTTCTCGTTTCATGGAGGCTGACGGTTTCCGTGTCTCTCACTGATGCTTAAGGGAAGTTCACGGAAAATGGAACTTCAGTAGGCCATTCTACCTACCTTTTGACAATTCGTTTACTCGACGAGCATGGATACATTTGTCAAAATTGAGATTGGACACGTGAAAACTGAGAAGTTTCGAATTTCGAATTCCATACATGGTAGAGAAGAGACTCTTGAATAGTTCAAAAATGTACAAGCACACCCCTAATGCGTCTTAATTTTCTAAATGGATTTCCTCAGTTAGCACGTACATCGGGGGTTGAAGCGGAATCATGAATTGTCAAAACTTGCAAGAAATATGAATCTTTGTACTTAGGCTCAGTAATCATGAATAACGAGACTCTGAGAAAAGCTCAACAAAATAGACGTATGCCGGGAATTAATTGCGTTCGATCCAGGGAATGCAGGATATGGCGTTTCCGACTGTCCGATTTTCAAATTTTTGTGCAGGGGAGCCTGCTCCGGAATGCATTCGGGGCTGACAGTCCGCTTGTTTCTCCAGTGACACTGCTGCTTAATGTTCAGTTACAAAAAACTCCCCACCTGGACAAAACGAATGATGATACCGAGAAACAGTGGTCCAAAATCTACATAATTCTGGTTGAAAACAGAAGTTTGGACACCAAAGAAACTATACAAAACGAGACTACGTAGCCAATGAGAAAATTGATTCATTCAATGAATAGGTGATCAAAAGTCTTCGTGAATCATGAATCTGGAAGAAAATTCTTGTAGGAATCATAAATCATTGACGTAAAAACGACAGGAATCATGAATATCCGATGATTCAAATGATTTCGCTTCTGACCCCCTAACGTGCAATTTTGGCAAGTTGACATGAGACTTAAAGAAAGTCGCTGTAAGAAGTTGCGTATCGTTCAATCTACGCAAGTCAGATCACGAGTAAGTTTATTGCGGCCAATTAAGCACTTCCTCAGAAGTGACTTAAAAATAATGCTCTCCAACCATACAACGTCTGTTTTCGCCTCACCTGCGGGAAAAATATAAAGGTCGAGCTAAAAGGAAGCCGTGAAGCCTGATCGCTTGATTGGAGTCTCTACCCCTAGGACCTTGATTAGCGCTGATGGAAAGAGAAACCTCTGCCAAGCGCACCTTTTAGCGTCAGTTTGAAGGCGAACCTGTATGAAAAATTCGCCCGGCCGTAAAGTGGTTAACGGTCAAGAAAGGCTCGGGCAGAGACCCACCACATCGTTCTAATTCTTTTGAACCATATCCAACCCTTTAATCGTAGTATTAACTTTAATTTTCTTGATCTTCTTCGTTTTTCATAATCGGAGCTGGCACGCGCAAGAAGTGACTAAGCTCCTAAATGAGTAGAAGAGGAAAAATCGCCTCCGGTGTCCTTCGTTAATTGGCCACAAACCCACATTTTGACTTAAATATTGAACTGACTAACCTAGCATTTTCTGACCTAGGTACGAGACTGGAACACAAGCAAACACTGAGTTTAACATATAACATACTTTATGTGAAAATATAAATTTGCGTGCTAGGAAACCACTTCATTAAAGGCGAAGTTACCGTTGGTCGAGGTCGACAGGGAACGAAATCACTTGTGATCACGCGATTAACCTGCTGGGTTTTAATCTTACTTAGGGTTGATCACGCGATCATGCCCATGACCCTTCATACAATGTCTGCGGTCTTCCTTGCGAACCTCGTTTCCAATAAGCTCAACAGGAAGAAGAAATACCCTGAGAACGAGGCTGCTATTTCGACCGTGCAGTGTGAGTGTGCTTCGAGCCTGGTGGATCTACCATAAACTTCAAGTGCCGTTTGAGTATGAGGTAGTTGTTGGTCAAATATTCAGGAGTTGCATTGATAACAAGACTCAGAACTGCAGCTGCATTAGAAGTCATACTCAGCTAGTGCTGTAAGCTAAGTGTGATGGCGTGAAATCCACTGATCTATAAGCAAGATTAGTAGGATACCTCGCCTTGCATGAATGGCCGGCCACAACTTCAGCTTCAAATCTACAAGAGGATTACTCTTCTAGAATAGAAGATAGCCAGAAAAAAAATGAACATGAATGGCTCTGGCTTATTACACTGTTAGTTACTGGGAAAGATTGACACATACTTTCAGCTAATTTACCAGTAAACTGGAGTCATTGTAATTGCAGAATTTGATTTCTGTTCTTTGTCACAACAATGCAAAGAAAAACCTACTAAAACTACACGAGTGAGTCAAATAAAGATTTTCTTGAAGTCCACAGATCGAGAGATGACAGTCGGGGGAAGTTGACGCTTCACGAAATACTGTACCAAAGGATTAGAAGGATCTTGTACTCTTACGCACTAAACGTCTTCACTGTAGGTTGGAAATTTGCTTCTACCAATCAGAAATACTTTACAGACCTGGTAGTGACGCGTCATCAGTATGGAATTTTCGCGCTTCTTCCTCAGACGTTATTTCGTAGGAAAACCAGTGGTGGCGTCGATAAATGTCGCGTGATTTTGTGGAAGCTACCCACATTGCTTTTCGTAAAGAGCCGGGAAACGTAGACATGTGTGTGTGGCGATTAATGATAAACTTTTGACGAATGTGCTGTGTTATATCCTGTGGCTGCGACAGTAACTTTTGCTGTCAAGTAAATGAGCTAAACAACGTACTATCTCATTTTATATCTTAAGACAAGAGTCATCTAACACAGAAACGTTAACATTACATCCACTGAAAAACTTGTTTTATGCGTAAAATCATAGGTACAGATCTCTGCTCCATTAGAGCGTGCTCAACAAACTTGTCCTGCATTTCAAATCTATAGTGTCACATTGATTTAACGATAAGGTCAAGTGGAGTCAGAAACGCTATGATTGATATTACTAACACAAACCTCTTAAAGTCTTTAATACCAGTAACTGAAACCGCGTAACAAATTATCAGAAAAATGCGTATCTCTTGGTCGATATAGTTTAAAATGCCTGAGGGATTAAAAAAGATTAAAGTTTGACTTCGCAAGCACAACCATTCCCTTGTTAACTGGGTGCAAATCCCAGAGACCATGAACCAGCGTTGTTCGCCTCACTGGGGGCATCATTGTTTGCCGATTATTCGTAGAAACGAAGTTGAGCTAGAAAACAAGGAATATGCCGGGTAAAGCGGAATACTTACGCTAAACATTGGGTTCTTCAGTTTCAGCAGTTTAACTGACTACGACAAGGTGGTCTCAAACTCTCCTCGATTAACAATCAAAGCTTAGTGCGCATTTTGGGTAAGTCTTTAAAATTTCGGAAGTCGCGTACCTTTGATGTCAGTGCCAATTCACCGACATACCGCTAATAGATCATTGCTCGATACTTTGATTTATTAACATTAATCTTGGTCAGAAGCTAAGTA